TTTATTTAATTTTTCTTCCCAATATTCAACCCAACATCATAAAACAAATGCCCTTTATAAACACGCATGACTGTCAGTCTTCTGTAATGAACCAGGGTAGGCCTGACACTAAGAGGAAAACTACTAATAATGAAAAATTCCTTGATACAAAATTAACACTTTTGCAAATATAAAACAAATAAAATTAAAATAATCAAACTATTGAGTTTCTCAGGTACATTAGCCTAGCTTTATTTAAATTGTTTTAAGAAAACTACAGAATCTGAATAATTTAAAAAATAATAATACACTATAGTCTTCACTGTATGAATTAAACAGCTTTAGTAAAACGCATGGCAACGGTTTATTAAGCTGCTGTCCCTTTAAGAGGAAACGCACAGATCTAATATACTGTTACACATACCATTTTCTCCCAACTGTTTATAGTTGTCTAGAAAGCAACTAAAGACAAGTCCATGTGACTCCAGTGGTTTAACCTCAATTTTATGTGCTTTAAACACATCATTTACCACTTTATTTACAAAATGTATCTCTACCGCCCATTCACTACGCATGCGTTGGAAGTTGTAGCTGTCAATGGAGGGACAGAAAGCTCTCCGATTTCATTAAAACATCATCATTTGTGTTCCAAAGATGAGCAAATGTCTTGTGGGTTTGAAACGTCATGAGGGGGAGAAATTATTTCATTTTAAGATGAATTATCTTTTTAATATAATATTAAATCAATTACAACAATAAACTCAAGGCATCTATTCTGCATTTTTAAAACGTGTAAAAAAAGGCACATATATAAAGATATATATTTTTCACATTTTTATAAAATAGCATACAATTGTCATTATTATAATATATTGTAAGGAATGCATGTCATTTCATGATAATATAATGATTTTATCATTATAACCAAACTCGTTGATCAGCAGTATTACTGTGCCAGTTCATTTGCACAGACAGAGATATTAAATTAATTCAAAGCCCAAATGCACATAACTTATGCGTTCAAGAGATTTGATTGCAAAGCTAATTAATGCCTTAACTAATCAGCATGTGATCTCCAATCCGCAGCTGGTGTTTACACTTTTGAGTCACGCGAGGCGCTTACAACCTATTCCAGAAAAGAAATGCTGAAATAACACACGACATACCTTTGTGAAGAGGTCCGTTAGTAAGTAAATGAGGGATGAATTCACATGAGTTCTGGATTCACAGTGTTCGCGTCTGTCTCAGCTCGAGGCTTGTGTACAAGAGATGCGAAACGGCGTCAGCTGACTGCTCGCTTCTCATTGGACGGAGGATTCACTCGGGGCGTTTTCATTGGTGAGAAAAAGACCGTTACACCCGCCCAGTCAGGAGCACAGGCATTCGATTGGCTGATACGTGCGCCAGTCACCGCCACAGCCACAGCTCCACTCAGTGTTGTTGGAAGGGTGATTGTCAAACGCTTTAAAAGGTGGTCCGGGTTTTAAAAAGGGAATGAGCGTCAGAGAATCACATTTAGTGTCAGATTTAAAAGCGTTTGTTCAGCCTGTGAAAAAAAAAAAAAAATTCAGTCAATTAAGGCCTAATTGCTTTTTGTCATTCACTTGTCTTAGGCTAGATGACACATATTAGGCTCTCAGCTGTTACTGATAATGCACTTAAACACAAAATCGTGTCTTTATACACGTAGGCTACATAATATATAGGTAGCCTATAATAATCTGTTGTCATATATTGCTGTGAAACAAGACTTCAATTTGACTAATTTGATCTGATTAGAGTCAAAAGGCCAATTACACAAACGGGTTCATTTGCAGATACAAACACCTCTTCTTTTTACTGTTATTTTATCTGAAATGTTCAAATGTTGTCAGGGCAAGAGTATTTTTCATAAAAAGATACATCTAGCCTATATTTATAAATAAAATATTAAATAAAAGCACACTTGGCAATAAAGCTCTTTCTGATAGGCTATGTCAGGGTGGGCAAGTCACGGGTGTTTCAAATGCAAAAGAATGCAAATTATTATTGTTATTTATTTATAAAGTGTCTGTTGGCCTTAACCATTTGTTCATGAACATAACGCTTTTCCTTTAAGCAAGAACCAGTTAATTAATCATTTAAATCACCAACCAAACTGTTTAAATGACGTCATCGCTGATGTTACAGCGCCACCAAGTGACGATTGTCGCCTTGAGGCCTTTTTACAGATTTTCTTTTCTTTTGCCATAAGAGAAAATGTGAAAGCAAAAACAGCAAGGGCTCAAATCCATATGAAAAATCAGATCCTTAATTCTAAATAAACACTAAAGGTTGTCGAGACGTTGTGTAGGCCTACTTCAAATTTGACTCTGCTACCTGTTGCTGTATCTACATTTTTTTTTTTGTAATTAATGACACCAACTTATTTTTATTCTTTACATGCCTATAAGCTACATTTCAAATTTGTTCTGTTCTGAATACCACGAATTAATTTGGAGAGGGGAAAATAGGCCTATGTATGTAATGTTATGCGTTTAGGCTTCCGCTATTTTGCATTACTTCTGAATGTAATAAAATGCGACTTTGTTCCCTTTCAACGCAAGTTTGACCCAAATGCAACTTGTTTCCCCATAAAATAGCCTACGGTAAATGGAATAAAACTGTGCAGGATTTTTTAAAAGTGTATAATACAACAGGGACTTTGTGAACCAATAAAACAAGCCTTTACTCCCACCCAGGAATGTTATAAAAAACGATAGGGGTCTCTGGAAAAAAAAAAAATCACTATTAGTGGTCCCTGGCTCCAAATGTAACGCAACACAAAATGTCACAGAGTAAAGACAAAGCTTTCCTTTAAAAAACAAAGCCCCTTTATTAATTTACAAGTCTAAAAGTGTATAATTGATCTCCAGCGGTCACCGAGACGGTTTGCCCCGGTGCGCGTGCACGGCGGCGGCGTATATCTCTCGCTGCGTGATCACGCGCCTCCGGTTGAACTTGGAGAGGCGCGCGGCCTCGGTGCCCACCTGCGCGTGCACATCTGCCCGGCGTCGCATCAGAGAGACGGCGTCACTCACGTCAACAGTCAGCTCCTAACAAATAAACAAAAATAAATTAACTGTAGGCTGCATGAGTTATTCAAAAAGCAACATCAAAAGATGCATGTTAATTTGGTAACACTTTACAATAGTTAACTACTTTAGCGTGAATTAATAGGCTACAGTACAGCATTTGTTACTCTTGGTCAATAATTTTAACATGTAGGCTACTAAAACTTTTTTTTAAAAAAAGGTTGTAGGCCAACCTATATGTTAACGTTAGTAAACTAACATGAACAAAAAAAATTATCAGCAGTATTTTCATAACATTTAACAAAGAATAATGAATACTGTAACAAATGTATTGCTCCTTGTTAGTGTTAGTAAATACATTAATGTTAACTAATTAACTTTATTTTAAGACGGAAAAAAATGGACGGATTTTTTTTTTCTTTAACACACCTTCTCAATCTTGTAGATGTAGGCAGAATATTTCTTGCTGCTCTGTTTGCGTGTCCTGCCAGTTTTAATGGACTTCCTCGAGAATTTCACACTCCCGTCAGATGATGTCTTCATGATTGATGCTGTTCAAGCCGCTTTCACAGAACCGGAAGTGACGCTGTTGATCGCCGGAACAATTTATTGCGTCTCTGCTCGTCTCAGCACAGGTGAAACACTTAAGTCTTAATTAAATCTTCTTTCCCTAATTAAACATTCACTAAAATGCCATTGCGATACTAAATCATAATTTTGTTAGTAGCCTATTTGGTTGATTCAGTCATTAAATAGGCTACATACTATTTTTGACTCCAATAAAACCAGTAAAATTTAGATTCTTTGAGGTTTGGGAATTCATTTGATACACAACTATAAAATGCATAGTTTTAATATTCATAGTTAGTTGCTCTTTTCCCCCTTTTCACGTTAGACTCATTAGTTGTGAAACTAGATGTGCATTTGATCAATAAACTTGTAATGTTTTTTTTTGTTTTGTTTTGTTTTTGACCCATTGTTTCATTGTTTTAATCGTGTGAAGACAATCACACAGGCCCGGTTTCACAGACAGGTTTAGATTAAGCCAGATTAAGCCTTAGTTCAATATGTGCCTTTGAAAAAAAATGGTACTGACATATTTTAAGATATGCTTTCAGTTAAAAAAAATAGTTTAGGCCTTGATTTCAAGAGAAACACGAGAGAGAATCCGTCATACACACACACACACAGATCAGGACTATTATTGGATGTATGGATTACAGTAATCCGGAGCACACTAAACACTGCTGCTCGTGTAGTGTTCACCACACAGATCTGATCATCAAGATGGACACCAGGATCCTCGCTGTGTTTCTGCTGCTGGTCACTCAAGGTACGAAGTGTTTGTGTGACCGTGAGTGTGTGTGTGTGTGTGTGTGTGTTCATAACAGACTGTGTTCTAAGAACATTGTGGTAACTTTCCCAATTAAGTTATGAAAGATTATTTCAGAATATTCCTGAATGTCCATTTTTTTAATTGCGAACGATAAGGGAACGTTCTATTTTAACGTTCTTCAAACATTATGGAATGTTACTTTTGAATGTTTCTCTGAACATTCTAAAACAAGGAGTAACATTTAAAAATGTTACAACTACCACATTTTTTTTAAACATTCCATGGATGATAAATAAAGTTAAATAATGAAAATGTATTATGTTTGGTGCTATTTTTTTTTTTTTTTTTTTTTTTTTTGAGAACATTAGAAAAATTAGACAGGCCAGAAAACTTTGAACCAACGTTCTATTAATGTTGGAAGAGTGTTTGTTAATAACATTCAGAGAACGTGATCTGAAGTTGTGGATAACACAGTCTGCGTTTGTGTCCCACTAAGTCTCTGTTTCCTGGAACTTGACTGTTATGTACTTGGACTATAGCAGATGTTAGGACACACTCACCAAGGGCTTTACCTGTGGATGAAGATATAAGAAACAACTTTGAATGAATGAGATAAAAGTGTGCAGAATTATTAATTTATGAGGAATTAAATTTGAGCACTTTACCTTTATGGTTCTGATCCTTCAAAACAAAGATAGATAGACGTACAGATAGACAGATAGATAGACAGATGGATTTCTTCAATGATGACCTGACTCTATCTCTGATCTCTCACAGCTTTCATTGGCATTAACACACAAGGGGTGAGTATTTGTGTGTGTGCATGCGTGTGCGTGGGTATGTGATAGTGTGTGTGACTCTTGCGTGTGCACATGTGTGTGTCAGGAGTTAGAGATGCCGTGGCCTTATGAGGAAGAGGAGGAGGAGAGTGTGAAGGAGGTGACGGAGAACCAGACGCCGACGGGCTGCAACTGTGACTGTCAGGATCGAGTCCAGCCGACCGGGACTCCAGCGACCTGGACCCCCATCATCAGCCCCACACCGGACACACGCACCGGCCCGTACCAGGACTGCATGCCCGGTCAGCTCTTCACACACACTCCTGGTCAACTTACACACACCTTGCAGAAAACGTTCATTATTTTGACACAATCAGAGAGATCACACAAAATTCCTGGGATTTTCTTTTTAGTACCGTCCAAGATATTTTACATAAAATGTGTTTACCTAATATTAAAAAAAAAGTTTCCACCCCCTTGATTCTTAATACTGTGATTCCTGGATGATCACGACTGTATGATTTTGAGATTCATCTTTTCACATAATGGACGACTGATGGACTCAAACACAAGTATTATCAAAGGATGAAGATGTGCACATTTTTCATATTTTGTTTAAATATATTTTTTTTTAATTTAGTACTGCTCTTCAAAAGCAACTAAAGACACTTACATGTTTCAAAATGAGTGCAATATACCTTGATCTTCAAATTAAAAAGATTCCCTTAGAATCATCAATGAATTTTTCAACATTTTGTAACACTTAAGTTTAAGTCCCTCAGTCCCTCAAATAAAATTACATCCCATGCAAATATGCATGACACAATAGATTTATATCTACCTGTACAACACATCAATATTTAACTCTATTGCCCTCTTGAGTACTGAGGAGTATTACCGCAATGCAACATTAATATAAGCAAGCTCAAAAGTGTCCATCCACCTATTTTTATACTCAGTTTTGGATATAGCATAAAAATGCTGTAAGATGCACATAAATTCTCTATTTTTCTTATTAACAAAACATAGTTGCATAAACCAAGCAATAGACAAATTAAATATACACACAAGTACACAAAGAAAAATATTAAATATAAATATATAGATGTGTAGATAATGTATACAGGTACAGTAATAATTTTAAATCAATAGGTTATTCCAGTGTGATATATCAACTTTATATTTAAGTGAAAAACTCACTGTGATTAATAAATATCATAGACTATTTGAAACAATCATGATAATAATAACATTAGTGCAGTAATAGTAATATTACTGTAATAACATTCATAATAATAATATAATCTATTGATAATATTGTAAAATAATTGCAAACTATCACTACGCTCTAGTTCTTGTTCATAAAAAAAATAAAGAAATTATTTTTTTTTACAAAATCAATTTTTTATCCGGTAAGAAAACGTGCATAAACTACGACGTAAACACATTTTCCCAATAAATTCATCGATGGGCATCTAAAAAAACCATGTGATTTACAATGGGACGCCATAAGTGGACAAACGAAGGGACTAACTTGTTCCGCCGTGACGCTCACTGATACAGGGCACACAGCCAAGAGGCTTTACAGCGATTACATGAGTAACGATCATCCATGATGCATCTGCTAAAACTGATGACACATGAGCCAACCTCTGAACTCGACAGAGTAGCGGACATTACAATCCACATATTAAAGACCAGGAACAAGAGAACTAGAAGGACGGTCTGCAGGAGACAAGCTGGGCACCACAAACACCGTCAGAACCAGATCCAGATCGCAGTGGCTTTGAGAGAGAGAGAGTCGAGCGTGCCAGCGGATAATCTCATGACGAATGAATGATGCCCAGATTACCGGGCCTGAAATAGTCCAAACTGCTGGAGGTCCACTCGTGCCAACCAACGGGACTCCTGATCCACTCGGGCTGGAGGAGACTCAACAGGGCTGCGTTGTTATTATGATACAAAGTACATAGTATGTACATGGGTAACAGGAATGTAAAAGGAAGCGTTACCGTTTTATTTTAGGTTTTGATGTGCTTAAGAATATATATTTGCGGTATGAGTGCCAAAAAACATCTCAATATACAGTATATTTACAGCTCTTTCTCAGGAGCTCTGCCAACAACTTAATATTCTACAGGCTCATTTTTAAAGGATGATCTTCTGTTTCCTCAGAGTGTCCCTACCACACACCGCTGGGATTCGAGGCCGGGTCGGTGAAGGCGGATCAGCTCACCTGCTCAAACCAGGACCAGTACATCGGCTGGTTCTCCTCCTGGACCCCCAATAAAGCCAGACTCAACAGTCAGGGGTTTGGGTGAGAAACCCCTAATTCACTTGCACTTTATTTTACAGTACGTGCACTTGCACTTGCACAAGTCGGGCGCTTTTTTCTCTGTAAAGCTGCTTTGAAACGCTCTGTATGGTTGTAGCGCTGTATAGCTGAAGGTGATGGACTGTAACATGTGAAGTGTGTGTCCTCTCGGCCTCAGCTGCGCCTGGCTGTCTAAAGCCCAGGACGCGAGTCAGTGGCTTCAGATCGACCTGCAGGACACTCAGGTGGTGTCCGGGATCATGACCCAGGGCCGCTGTGATGCGGACGAGTGGACCACCAAATACAGCGTGCAGTACCGGACTCACCAGCACCTCAACTGGGTCTACTACAAAGACCAGACCGGCAACAACAGGGTAACGCCTCACACACACCAGTACAACCATACAGATACTTACTCTCAGAGAAACTCACTGACTCACCTCTGGAACTGTCCAGCTCCATCCGTCCATCCATTCATCCATCCATCCATTCATCCATCTATCCATCCATCCATCCATCCATCCATCCATTCATCCATCCATCCATCCGTCCATCCTTCTATCTATCCATCCATCCATCCATCTGCCCATCCATCGATCCATCCATCTGCCCATCCATCCATCCATCTGTCCATCCATCCATTCATCCATGCGTCCATCCATCCATTCATCCATCCATCCATTCGTCTGTCCTTCCGTCCATCCTTCTATCTATACATCCATCCACCCATCCATCTGCCCATCCATCCATCCATCCATCCACCCGTTAACCATCCATCCATCCATCCATCAGTCTATCCATCCATCCACCCGTCTATCCATCCATCCATTCGTCCGTCCTTCCGTCCATCCTTTTATCTATCCATCCATCCACCCGTCTATCCATCCATCCATCCATCCACCCGTTAACCATCCATCCATCCATCCATCCGTCTATCCATCCATCCATTCGTCCGTCCTTCCGTCCATCCTTTTATCTATCCATCCATCCATCCATCCCTCCATCAGTCCATCTATCAGTCTATCTATCCATCCATCCATCCATCTATCCATCCATCCACCCGTCTATCCATCCATTCATCCATCCATCCATCCATCCCTCCATCCATCAGTCTATCTATCCATCCATCCACCCGTCTATCTATCCATCCATCTATCCATCCATCCACCCGTCTATCCATCCATTCATCCATCCATCCATCCATCCCTCCATCCATCAGTCTATCTATCCATCCATCCACCCGTCTATCTATCCATCCATCTATCCATCCATCCACCCGTCTATCCATCCATCAATCCATCTGCCCATCCATCCACCCGTCTATCCATCCATCAATCCATCTGCCCATCCATCCATCTATCCATCTATCTATCTATCTATCTATCTATCTATCTATCTATCTATCTATCTATCTATCTATCTATCTATCTATCTATCTATCTATCTATCTATCTATCTATCTATCTATCTTTTTCTCTATCATCTGCCAGGTTGTGTCCGGCTGAATGATTGTGTTCCTCCGTCAGGTGTTCTACGGGAACACGGACCGGTCCTCCACGGTCCAGAACCTGCTGCGCCCGCCTATCGTGACCCGCTACCTGCGGATCCTTCCTCTGGGGTGGCACACACGCATCGCCATCCGCCTGGAGCTGCTCATGTGCATGAACAAGTGTGTGTGATGACGGACTCACTGCTGGCTCTCAATACAGAGGAGCACATTCACAGTTTAAATACTTTAAAATGGCTTTTTTTGATCTCTTATAAACCCGAATATTGAGCAGTGATCAAAATAGAGGAAATCATTTCCTAGAAGTAGTAAAGATTGGATCATTACATTGTTACACCAGTAGGTGGAGACAGGGGACTGTTAAACATGTGTCTGTCATTGAATCATTCACTCAAGAGATTCGTTCAAAATGCTGAATCATCCAAAAACGAGTCTTTAAGGATGAGTCATTGAATCATTCACTCAAAAGATTCGTTCAAAATTATGATTCATCCAGCCTTGAGTCTTTAAGAATGAGTCACTGAATCAATAACTCAAGAGATTTGTTCAAAACGATGATTCATCCAGCCTTGAGTCTTTAAGAATGAGTCATTGAATCATTCACTCAAGAGATTTGTTCAAAACGCTGAATCATCCAGTAACGAGTCTTTAAGGATGAGTCATTGAATCATTCACTCAAGAGATTCGATCAAAATGATGATTCATCCAGCATTGAGTGAGTCATTGAATCATTCACTCAAGAGATTCGTTCAAAACGCTGAATCATCCAGTAATAAGTCTTTAAGGATGAGTCATTGAATCATTCACTCAAGAGATTCGATCAAAACAATGATTCATCCGGCATTGAGTGAGTCATTTAATCATTCACTCAAGATATTCGTTCATAACGCTGAATCATCCAGTAACGAGTCTTTAAGAATGAGTCATTGAATCATTCAACTCAAACCAGTTTATAAAATCAATTCAATCAAATCAATTAAACATCTTTAAACAAACTACAGCAATTAACATTGAATCAGAACCTCTGGTATATTACATTATTTAGTTTATTCTGTTTATCCACTCAGTTTATCCAGAATCGTGCAGCTTTACATCCCAGCTAACAATATATATTCTAAGAATGTTTTGCTAACATATCCATTAATCTCTAAAAACATTATTGGAGAATGTTCTCAGAACGTTTAACTGTGAGTGAGTGATTCCGTTTAGAATGTTCAGAAAACTTTCAAAAGTTACATTTAAAAAAAAAAAACAGATTCGAAAAATAACATTCCATGAATGCTGAATAAATCGTGTTTTTTGCCAATGTTTTGAACACATTATTAAACACTGATAATGTTCTGTTAATGTTACTGAATAACTCTCCAGAACATCGGCCATTAGCTGGGCTATATCTGAACACGAGTTTGACATCTCATGTACTCGACTGACATATGAATCACACACACACACACACACACGCTGAGAGGGCAAACTACGCCTCCAGGTACCTTGATCTTTATTTAGAAGGATTATCTGGCGAAGGTGAAATTACATATTGCATAAAATTAATGAATAATTATTATTATAATATCTCGTGAACACACACTGGCTCTATTTCCCTAAACAGAAACATTAGACGATCTGAAGAGCTTTGACATCTGATATCCAGGTATTGCATGTAAAACTGTATTTGCAGTGTTCAGAGAACTCTATCCCTGAGGGAATCAAAGACTGGTGGATTTAGACACAAGTAAACTTGCTTTAAAATGAAAAGGCATCATATGCTTGGATTGGTTTTTTTTTTTGCAGTGGATCTCAATGGCCAGCAGGAGGCGCCGCACCATCTCCTATGAGTTGGTCAGATTTGGTCGATGTTTTTGCTTTAATTATCATTTAAAAGGCTTTGTATATGATTTGTATAGACTAACAAAAGACCCACACACCAAACCCAGACAGCGCACGCACGTCTTCATCCGGACAACGACATTCACCATGAAGAAATACACAAATGTGACGTTTAAAGCAACATACTGTACGTGCGCCGTCTGGGAAGCCAACACACACACACACACACACACGCATTCTTACCATTAATTATTCTTATTCTTATATTCTTATATACTTTGATATTCACTGAATTGTAAACAGAAAATACTTAAAGACAAAGTCATAATATCTATAGTCTTATTCTAGAACTATAAAATGAATGTCAATCTCTACTTTTTAGCCAAATATAAGAGCTGTTATGCAGAATCAGATAAAATATATATAAACTACAACCAGAGTAGAAACTAAAGCCTGCACGTACAGTGCTATACATTTATATATATATATATATTTATATATATATATATATATTCCCATTTACATAGAGCTATATACTCTTCTTTACTGTAGTAACCCAATAACAAAAAGTACCGTAGTTACATAAATAATACAAGATAGTGCTATCAAATATTGAAAACTAAAAAAAGCCAACATAATAAAGATGGGGACATATAGGCCTACCCTTAAAGAGACAGTACACCCAAACATGAAGATTAACCCCTGATTTACTCGAGTCATCCTAGGTGTGTATGACGTTCTTCTTTCAGACGAACACAAACAGAGTTATATTGGGTATTTAAAAAAAGGGTATTTTTCTTACACAAACGCATCGCTTCACTTCAGAAGGCTTTTATTAACGATAGATGCACTTTTATGATGGACAGATGCACTTTTATGATGACAGATGCACTTTTATGATGATTAGATGCACTTTTATGATGAATAGATGCACTTTTATGATGGACAGATGCACTTTTATGATGGACAGATGCACTTTTATGATGGATAGATGCACTTTTATGATGGACAGATGCACTTTTATGATGATTAGATGCACTTTTATGATGGATAGATGCACTTTTATCATGATAGATGCACTTTTATGATGAATAGATGCACTTTTATGATGAATAGATGCACTTTTATCATGACAGATGTACTTTTATGATGGATAGATGCACTTTTATAATGGATAGATGCAATTTTATGATGAATAGATGCACTTTTATGATGAATAGATGCACTTTTATGGTGATAAGTCACTTTTATGATGGATAGATGCACTTTTATGATGATAGATGCACTTTTATGATGAATAGATGCACTTTTATGATGAATAGATGCACTTTTATCATGATAGATGCACTTTTATGATGAATAGATGCACTTTTATCATGACAGATGTACTTTTATGATGAATAGATGCACTTTTATGATGAATAGATGCACTTTTATGATGGATAGATGCACTTTTATGATGATAAGTCACTTTTATGATGGATAGATTAACTTTTATGGACGTCAAAACAGAAACGGCCATTCACTCCCATTATAACGCTTGGAAGAGTCAGGACATTTTTGATATAACTCTGATTGTGTTCGTCTGAAAGAAGAGTGTCATACACACCTAGGATGACTTGAGGGTGAGTAGATCATGGGCTAATGTTCATTTTTGGGTGAACTGTCCCTGTTAATACATCTGAAGAAAAGGTCCATTAGGGGGCGCCGTTCACAGCGCAGTCTCTTTAAGGTCATTCAGGTTTGGCAAACGCGAGCGAAAGTGTCGAGCGAAGCCCGGTTTGGAGGTGAGCTGCTCGGGATACGGGTTTCCCTCGGGACGGCCCAGAGCGCTGGAGTGCCAGCCGGACTCCAGGGGCCCCGGGGCCGACGCGTACGAGGCCTGCCGACCCTTGGCCTGCATGAAGCTCCCGGGTTTCGAGGAGGACTGAGGAGGGTAGTGGAGGTCTGCTGAGGTCTGGTTGGAGGAGGACGAGGAGGAGGTGGTGAGATGAAGAAGCTTCCGCAGCGACCTCAGAGGCTGAGACAAAACACACTTATTACTGATTACAGGCACTTGTTCAGTTGTTTAAAATATATGTTACATGTAATTTATACAGCTGATATATTTATTAAGTACACATAATATGATACTATTCTGAGATTTTACATAGTTGCTCTTATATTTGGCTTTATACTGTATATAACATGTAATTTATTAAAATTAAAAAGACTGAATCTTTATATGTGTGTGTGTGTGTGTGATTTAATATAATACTTTATAGAATTTATAATTATCCTTATATTTATATAATTAATATAATTTATGTAATTTAATGCACAATTTATAAAAATCAAGAGCTCAATGTTTTTATATCATTTATTTATAACTTATTTTATGTAATTGAATGCAAACAAAATCAAAAACTTAATTTTTAATAATATTTATTTAATGTCACATATTTAATTGAATGCATAATTTATTCAAATGAAAGACTGAATATTTATATATACCTATTATATTTATATTTAATTTAATGCATAATATATAAAAATAAAAAACTGAATATTGTCATATACTTTATAATTATTTCTATATTTCTATAATTTACATGCAATTTATTTATATGTAATTTAATGCAGTTTATAAAAATCAAAAACTTTGTTTTTATATTATTTATATATAATTTGTTTAGTTTTAATTTATTGCATAACATATAAAAATAAAAAAATATATATTTTTTCATTATTTACCTATATTTTAATTATATAACTTATATGTAATTTAATGCATTGTTTATATTATTTATTTAAACATGTATATCATTCATATAAAACTTATTTATATGTAATTTAATGCATAAACTCACAAACCGAATCTTTTGATTATATAACACTGAGCCGTAACCACACAAATGTACTATTAATAAACATTAATACTGTGTAGGTTTTCCAGAACCAGCTGGAGAGAGTCATTTAACAATTCCAGGTGTTATTTCAAACATTAAATGACATTTAACATTGATAAAATGTGATTGTGTGTTTTAATTATTCTGATATCTTTTGATTATTTTAATTTCTTCTATGTAAATCACTTTGAATAACCACTGTGTATAAAATGTGCTATATAAACAAACTTGCCTTGCCTTGTTAAATTGCCTCATTATGTGATGTAACTGTAAATTATTATATTTTTTAATTGAAATAGCCCATGCGTTGTTTACAATGACGTTTATGGGTAATATATTCTCAGAAAAAATTTCATTAAAATGATGTATATTCTGTAATAATAAAACAACACAGTTACTTTCTATATACAGTATACACCATCAAAAGTTTGGTGTCAGTAAGATGCTATTTTTATTTAAAGAAATGAACACGTTTATGCAGCAAGGATGCATTTTAATTGACGAAAAGTGACAGTAAAGATTTTAAAATTTTAAATAAATGCTGTTCTTTTATAACTTTCTATTCAAAAACAAAAATATTTTCAACATTACTAATGTTGATCATCAGATCCTCATATTAGAGTGATTTCAGGATCATGTGACACTGAAGACTCACTGAAAATCCAGCTTTGATCACAGGAATAAATTACACTTTACTGTATATTCACATAGAACACGGTAGTTTTAAATTGTAATAATATTTCACAATATTACTATTTTTACTGTATTTATTCCATCAAGTAAATTATCAAATAACTGTGATTTTGTATAAGTACATTTCTGAAATGATGCAGATCACTCTAAATTGTCACGTGGACTCATGGTAAAGCTGCTGTGAAATGATGCGTTTAAAAGTAAACGTGAGTTGAATTGAAAGTAAAGGGTGTGAGGTCCTGTGTACCTGAGAGTGTGTGTCCGGTGTCCTCTCTATAGGCCAGTCAGCGTCCCGCTCTCGCTCCTGATCCTGCTCTCTCTCTCTCTCCCGGCTGCGCTCCCGGTCCCGGCTGCGAGTGCGATGTCTGATGCCCTGGTGTCCGTACGAGCGCGACGACTTCTGTATCAGCACCGGATCCGGGCCCTCGCTCGGCACCTGACCAATCACACAGAGCTGTCAATCATACACACACGTTACAACTAACAGCCAAAATAACAGAGAGCGACACCCGACAGCCCAGGAGAGAAGCGTAATCGTTTGTTCGAACATGACAAAATAATCGGATTCTTCTTCTTAAAGGTGCAGTGTGTGCTTTTAAATGATGTCAATAAATCAATAATGTAAAAATGATTGATTCTGATACTGGGGGAACATGATTTCATCAGTTTCACCCTCATGTATTTAGTCCGTTTCTGTGGATTTGCCGAATCAAAATCAAATTTCACATGCAAATGCAAATATGAGGTCATGCGTCCATCATTTGTGGAGTCTGATGACATCACAGATCTGACACTTCAACATAACCGATTAGTGTTGTTAGATCATGCAGCGAGATTAGCGGTT